AGAAAAATAAATAGGCTGCCGAGCCGGACCGCAGTCACCATTATATCCGAGTTATTGCCGGGGAAAGCTTCTCTGTAGTGTACACAGAGGCCTACTTACCGATGACACTGAAGCCGCGCTTATTTCCTCCATCTACAAAATGTCGCCGTCACCGCTCCAGGAATAACACAAACACTATTCTACAAGAACTCTACCATTTCTGGTCCCTGTGTGTGTTGTAAAGTAGTCACCGCTCCAAGCTCACTCCCGGGATGAACTACAATCTCAATACAAATCAGTAAACTAAACCTGAGATTGTAGTCCCACAGGTGCTTTATCTTGCCCTATATACTGGGGGCTTGATAAGACCCCTCACAGGTGCTTTTATTTCTTTACATACTCGAGCCCCGATGGGACCCCTCATGGGTACCATTTTCTGCCCTATATAAACATGCAGAAGAATACTGTGCGTGGACAAGGAGCCTGGGACCTGCCAGATGCCAAGGAACTACAAGTCACAGAATGCCATGGCAGCTGGCAGTCACACCACATGCTGGGTCCTTTAGTTCTAAAAACATATAAAGTGGGCCTATTAGGATATTGCAGGGGCAGACAACATTGGCACTCAGCTGCTCTGAAACTAAAAACCCCGACATTCCTCTGCCTCTGAGAGTCATGCCTGTGTCTGTCAAAGTCTTGCATTGCCCCATGGGACTCGTAGTTCTAATACAGCTGCAGTTGCCTTGGGAAAGTCCACTTCTAAAAGAAATAACGAACTGCCCACACAAAATCATAAAAGGAAAAAATGTACATTTATTACAATGTAATTCAATATTTTTTACAATAAAGCCTGTCCCCTCCCTTCTCCAAGTTAGCAGATGGACGGCTGCTGGAGACTCTGTTCTGTCCCCGGTGATCTTGTTCTGGACACGAAGTTCAGGGAAGCCGAGCTTCCATGATGACTGTAATTACTTGATGAACATTTTAAGTAACACTTTGCAAGGTCATGTACATTTCTTTAAATTGGATTCATTATTAACAAAAAAAGTTTGAAAGTTTATTTCTACTTTAAATACAATATATCTGAATATCTGTCATGATTTTGCAACAACTAGACAAATAGACGAAGGGTTTTTTTTTCTTTTGAACCTCCCCGGAATGGAAAATAGAAAATCTATTGAATAGTACATCAACATTTGTTCTCAGTAGGTGGGGGGTTTGGCCACCGGCAGGGGCCGCCCCTAGGCTGTAATTGGTCTTTAGTTTTTTTGTGCCTAGCGTCCTTCTCCTGCAGGTGGCGATATTACCCTACAGTACATGATCTCCGATCTGTTCCCTGTGTCCTTCAATGAACGGAGAGAAAAGGATTTTACGGTGAGTACCAAAATCCTATTATTACCCCAAAAATAAGAGGATTGTTCCCATTTCGGGTAAGTGAGCGCATAATCCTTTATTTTTGAGAAATGTGATGGGATGAGACATATGCTAACAATGCTTTACTGTGCTATTTGGATGGCTTTTTGATTCCTTTAGTCCCTTCTCATCATAACCTGTATAGTTAAACTGTTTCTTTGGTTCCCAAACTCAACCCATAGAATCCATGGTTTCCATACACTTCACTGATGATGGCCACAAAGCCT